TACCTCCCTAAGGGAAAAAACGATTTCGAGTTATAAATGCATCATATTTTATGAACAAATAAATAGAAATATTTGATAAATATTACATTTTATTAATTATTATGAATGAATATTTATAGGAATTGTACAGTTATCACATTTAGTAAAATTTATAAAATCTGGATAAGTATTCCCCTTGCGTTTACTAATTGTCACATTTTTACTACTAGAAGCTGGAGTTGAAGTCTCATTGTAAAGAATCCTGTTGGCTATTTAATTTTTGTTACTTAAACTGTCAGCAACATAACTTTCTGCAATTGTGGCTGATTTCCACTCACCATGTCTCTTGATTGCTAGCTAATACATCCACTCCTGTATTAGCCAGTAACGTTGCCGATGTTCTTCGGAATGAATGGACTGTATATGTTTCAGGATGTTCTAGTTTCAAAAACTATGCAATCTTATTAGAAATCATAGAAAAGATATTCTTGTCGACTGGTTGGTTGTAACATCTACTTGCTTGTTAGCGCATAAAAAAGCGTGAAATTTCAGTTTTAATTTCCAATCTAATCTTGATATATTTCTTGAGAATTTCTATGTGAGGAACAGAACCCAGACGAGAAGTAATTGTAAACGTACGTGTCATATCATTTTTAGAATCTGGAATTGTAACTACAATAATGTCATCGATATTTTTGAAATTGACGTTGTCTAAAGTAAGTTTGCATGACTCATCAGAACGGCATGCAATGCAATGACTAAGAGTATCACTACCTTCATTAGTAAATGTGTTATCGGGTGCCTGAACGAGAAAATCGTTGACTTGTTCTATTGTAAAAACGTTTGACATTCTAGGTGTATAATCGTCATTCTTACGGTTCAAAAATGCTCTCAACTTGGGGTATTTTGATATATCCACGTTTTCCACCAGCAAAATTGCAACTTTTATGTAGCTTTGTTTATAAACACCTTAGAAACAACAAAATCCAAACAACCAAGGCGACTTTGCAAGATGTCAAAATGAATTGATTAAGAAATGTCGAAAAAATAAAACCTAATCATTATTTCATGAACCATAAAAAACTGTGGGAGCAGATAAAATGTTATACACCACACAGCAGTTAAGTATAATTTACCAGTCTCGGACTCACTCTATTGCAATAGAGTCAAAATCGTCCTCGACTAGTAAATAATACTTACTTCCTTTATTGTGTAATTTGTGTAAATAACTATTAAAAACAGACATGAATATTTCTTAATTTTCCCTAATAATTACAGTTTTTCAAAATTGAAATTTGTATTATTATTACTTGTTACATAGACATCTTTAATTTATTACCTACATGTTTATGCCCCAGCACAATCATCATGCTGCTAATTTGTGCAATATAACAACTGTTCTAGATATTTTTTTAAATCAAAGCTTGGATATTGTCAACTATTTTTTCAAATGCTGCACATTTTAGTTTGGAAATTTTTACCCTGTAGTCTAATATTGAACTATACCCACAATATTTAGTATACAGGTCTTTCGTCAGCAGAATCACCATACATATGCCGGTTTCCTACTTATCTCATCTCTCATGACGTAACTGACTCATCATCTTGCTATTTTGACAGCCTTGGCGTGAGTATGGGTATAACATACTATACAAAATGTTGAATTGTCACTATTACTTAATGCCTATATCTTCAACATCGCCAAACTGACCCACTACTACTACTATTTTTTAATTATTAATATTATAATCTAGGTATATCATTCATCGGTTGTCGCACCATGGCATACTGATGAGAACTAACATGTTCAAAACCGGTACATGTCTGGTGGTTCTACTGACTAATGATCTTATCTGTGCACTAGCCGCTGCGAGTGTGATCGGAGCATTAGTCCGCAGAGTTGTTGTCTGCGACAATTGCTTATATTCTACACGTACTTCTGTTCAGAAATAATTTCTTTTCTCATGTGAGCATACTATTTTAATTAACGTGTATTAAAGAAACTAAAAAGGTGAGACCAAAAAACTCGAACTTACGTTTCTACGCTTGCTGCATTTCATCACCTAATTCAATTCTCCGCAGCCTCCCTGATTATTACTTAACAGATATGCTGTTTCTGCACCAGGAGGTTCCGTAGTTCTAATTAGTTAATTGAAGTTTGTCTGGCTCTGCTCGTTAACAGCATTACACTTAATTGGAGGTGTCGAGGGCTAAGGCCTTGTTAAATTAGAGGTATAAGTACCAAGGGTACTGTGAGATCCTAGGGATTAAGGATTTTAATCGTCTTAAAGTTTAAGTTTTGTGAGCTTGTGTAACTTTCATTAAAGGACTGTTAGAATGGCAGGAAAACGCCTACTTTGGCTTTAAAACAATTTCTGTGAAGCATACCCGTTTAGTTGATAGCCTATTTTCTTGGTAATTCATATTCACGTTATATATTAACATCAAAATTAACTCGGCAAGTACTTTAATGGCGTCATAACATGTTTACTACCGTTATCACTATTACAAACTAATTGATTGTATTTACAGCAGGCAACCAATACTTCAAACTTTTGTATTGTGAGTTGCATAATTGGAGAAGTTAGTTAAGTAACGTAAGTGTTTCCTTTTCATTCCATAATGTTTTTAAAGAAATATATTGCTTTAGAAGAAGCTTAAAGAGCTTGTTTTCTTATTAAAACTGCACTTATTTGCTGAAGTGCTCTTAAACATAACAGAAGGAATTTTGTTATTGCAAATTTCTACTAAACGATTTATTTCTCGACGTTTGAAGGATTTATTGAAGGAAATTATTTCCTTCAATAAATTCATTGGAAGTTAAAATCAACTCATTTAAGACGTTTTTACTTTCGTAAAGACAGGTTGTTTCGATTAATTGGGACGAATTCCATTAAAAGCATACGACGGAGAAGTTATTGTGTTAAAATTTAAATGCGTTCCCACAAATTTCATTCATTTAAAAATACGGTTGGTAAAATTTGTATTATTATGTGTATTAGTAAGTTAAACCCGTTGATTGGGCCTCCACTGATATTTTATTGGATGTGGGGAACATGAAGCGAATTAAACACTATTCCCAATGAGGATACAAAGTCGCAAAGTTAAAGCCCTTGGAGTTTCACTGAGTTATAACCAGATTATAACAGAATTCAGTCGTACGTACAAGAAATACCCCAAGCATGAAAATCTACACCTACTCTGATTTAATTCAATCAGTTCTCATTGTCATATTTGTGGATATCGATTTCACAGCCACATGGACCCAACCGATCTGAACTAAGGCACTGTTCTTAGAACAACAGGTTTATGTGGCAGAACTATTAATCACTTCAGTTTCTAGACCAGGAAATAGGGGTTTTTGGGATATATATTGAGTTGGGAATAAAGACTCCGTCGTTTGGTGGCTGGCCAACCACGAAAATGTCCAAGTCACAGGCTCATATATTTATGTTTCAACCATTCGTCCAGAAAATAAGATTTGTTTCCGACAACTTCAAAATCAAACTCGCAAAAAGATATACTAATTCAATTTTATCTGTTCCCACTATAATAAATATAGACTATTAATACGTTGTTTTTAAGAAGGTAAGTGGATTTTACCGTATAAGTGGAAGTTGCTATGGACAACGGGAGGTAAGAGAGGTAACTTACCTCCCTAAGGAAAAAAAGCGATTTTGAGTTAATTATAAACGCATATTTTATGAACAAATATTAATTTTATTAATTATTATGAATGAATATTTATAGTAATTGTACAGTTATTACATTTAGTAACATTTATAAAATCTGAATAATTATTCCCCTCGCGTTTAGTAATTGTCACATTTTTCTCAAAATGATTTGACCGGTTCATTTCAGACACCGGAGGCTCAATATGATCTAACTGATCCATTAAAACAGCATGATGCGACGTACTACTACAACCTTGAGATGAAGTGTCATTGTAAAGAATCCTGTCGGCTATTTCATTTTTGTTACTTAAACTGATAGCAACATAACTTTCTGCTACTGTGGCTGATTTCCACCTAACATGTCTCTTGATTGCTAAATACATCAACTCCTGTATTATCCAGTAACGTTGCCGATGTTCTTCGGAATGAATGGCCTGTATATGTTTTAGGATGTTCTAGTTTCAAAAACTGTGCAATCTTATTAGGAATCATAGAAAGGGTATTCTTGCCGACTGGTTGGTTGTAGCATCTACCTGATGCTTGATAACGCATAAAAAAGCGTGACATTTCAATTTTAATTTCCAATCTAATCTTGATACATTTGTTGAGAATTTCTAGGGGAGAAACAGAACCCAGACTAGAAGTAATTGTAAACGTACGTGATATACCATTTTTAGAATCTGGAATTGTAACTACAATAATGTCATTGAAATTTTTGAAATTGACGTTGTCCAAAGTAAGTTTGCACAACTCATCAGAATGGCATGCTCCTACAATGCCTAAGACCGTCACTACCTTAGCAAATATGTGTTATCGGGTGGCTGAACGAGAAAATCGTTGACTTGTCTTGTAAAAACGTTTGAATTTTTAGGTGACATTTCCGAAACACCAGTATTTTTATTCTGGCACCATTCTCTGAAATTTCTATATGCTCGTCCGTAGCACGCTGTCGACTTTTCGGGCAATAAATTTTGTTTTTGTTGTATTTCGTCCTCGACTGGTAAAGAATATTTACCTCCTTTATGGTGTAAATAACTATTTCGTATTAGTTGTAGAATAAACGGTAGTATAAAAACATTTGTACAAAAACAACGAAATAACAATTAAAAAAAGGCATAAAAATGTGTAGAGATTTTCCGATCCCAAGATATTCAAGTTTGAATGATCTAATGTATCAATTGCTTTGAGGAAATATTTATAGTTCACATTTACCTGACTTATTTGATCAGATCAGATATCAGGCAACAAGTTCAAAATAGAATTTTAGAAGAAAATAAATAACGTTTTAAAATATCATCATAGAGTTGTGAAATTTTCATTAAATCATGCTTTATCCTTCATTTTCAGGTCAATTCCGACAACACCTGCGACATCGACGTGGAAAATACCCTCCGCACCCTTCTGTCCCCTCAAGAGAACTCTATGCAGGTCCAGGCGCTGCGCAGAGACGTTCTTCGGAAATTTCAAGAGGCCTTAGATCGGTTAGACCAGGAGGAAGACGAGAGAAACTTAAAGCGATCGCTCAGTTCCTTGGCCGCTTGGAATAACCTGCCCGAACACAAGAGGAACCTCGAAGCCCTCGCTAGGGCTGGGTACCTAAAGACTCTGCCGGATGAAGACGATGGCGACTCGAACTACAAGAGGAGCATCGCCAATTTGGCAAAAAATGGGCAGCTGCCAATGCCAAGCGACGGTCAGAAGCGTGGTAAGAGAAAAACGAGTGTTTTGTTTAGGACTATATTATTTTCCTCCAGTTGTACAGTGTACTGTGCAATATTGCAGCTCTGGGTGAAAGTTGACAACTGGTGTTTGCTTTCAGGTATAGAGTCTTTAGCCAGAAATGGCGACTTACGTCCAAAGAAAGACATCCAGGAGCTACTCGATGAGATGTACGGCAAGAGGAACATAGGCAGCTTAGCCAGAGGGTTTAACTTACCGAGCTACGGCAAGAGGTCTTTGAGTAGTTTGGCCAAATCAGGGGATCTCAACTATCAGAGGACCCAGTACAAGAGGAACATTGCGTCACTAGCTAGAGATGGGAAATTTACAGGTAAGAACTATATAGTGCCAGGACAACATCCAGATAGAGAATGTTCACTGATTTTGTGGAAGGGATGGCGTATTATGACTCTGTGTTTATTTAAAAAATTACCTGCGAGTTTTTTAACTGGGAATGAGAAGTTTATGAACTTTTTTATGAAATAATATACATTCAGATAATATTCTACCTGTTTTACCTATTTTGCCTTATATCTATATATAGAAAAAAATTGTAAAAACCAAAGATTTTGGACATGTAAACCAAATTTTTGTTTTTTTTTAATGAAATACCCTGTGTTTGTTACTTTTTAATTCGTCTCTTTTTTTATTACGATCATATATACAGGGTGATTCAAAAAACCGCTGACAGACTTCTAGGGTAAGTAATACATGAAAAATTAAGACGAAAAGTCTTAATAAAGATAGGGTCGCAAATGCCCCCTTCACGAGATACAGGGCCGTAAAATTAAAGCGTAAAAATGACAAAAATAAGCTTATAATCTAGTTTACTTAACTCACTTGTACACATTGACATTAGTGACAGGCGTTGTTTAATTTTATTTTGGATAGCACAAGCCTACTATGCGAAACTAAAATGAATGAAAATAAAATTGGATTTACAAATTTTCTACAAAGGTGTTTCTCTTAAAAATTGTTGCTTTAATCCAAATTTTGCAAGAGACCAATTCGATAGACAATTGAACACTTTACACGAAAATAGTGCCCTTGTGACAAAATTAGCAGTGGCGCAGAAAATATTTTTAAAAAAGGGTCACGTTGACCCCGTCTCTACGACACTGCTGCTCATAAAATTTTGAGCAGTACATCAAACATTGGTCTTAAGGTGCTAACTGCGCATAACAAATTTGAAATACAAGTGTTCAGGCATTTTGGAATTATTGCAGACAATGTTTAATTTTACAGAAACTTTGACGCCCTGTATCTCGTTAAGGAGGCATTTGCGACCCTATGTCTATTAAAACTTTTCGTCTTAATTTTTTATATATTATCTACCCTAGAAGTCTGTCAGCGGTTTTTTGAATCACCCTGTATACATTCTGCACATAGTCAAGATTGCCATGAAACCTGTTCTTGGGATGTTTTCTAGTGTCAAACCTAAACAAATCTTTAATTTTTTTGTTAAACAAAGAATGTCTTATTATAAAAAGTGTTTTATAATGTCTTCATCCTGTTTTAGACAAAACACTTTGTTCAATAACAATGTAGCATTTTTTTCTTAATAAAATATTTAAATCAACAGCTGAAAAGCAAAAATATGGTCTGGTTCCATGGCAATCTTGACTTTCTCTATTGTGGAGGTCAGTAAATAAAATAAAATAAACAAATACGGGGTCTGTTCAGAAAATAACTTATAGTACAATTCAATGGACTTTTAAATCGCAATATTGGCCAACTTGCCTGAATTTTTGGTAGAAGTTAGTTTGAGGTATATAATAACAATAAGTGACAGTAATTTTTTTTTCAACCCCCGACTAGGGGTGAAAAGAGTTAAAATAAAGTGTTTTTTTCAAGATACCTAACTCAAAAGGGGTAAAAGCTAGAAGGAAATTTCTTATAAAAGTTGTAGAGCATAATATTCTACATAAAAATGATCTATTTGCTTTTTCTTGTACTATTAAAATTAACAGTTAGGGTGGCTAGAAGTTAAGGGAGGATTTCAGAAAATTAAAAAAAATCATAACAAGCAGGAAAATTAATGAATTTTTTATTAGAATTTATTTTTTCAATCTACTCTGAAATATGTAGACTTTCTTTTCAAAGAAATATATGTTTTTTAATTTTTATTAAAAAAGTTATAATAATTTCAATTTTTTAATCGCTAATTTTTATGATTTAACAGTAAAACAACTTTTTTCTATGCCATTCGATTGTTTTATTATTTAAAATAATGAAAAGTTGCTTTCGAAATTTTGTTTTAATGCAAAGATAAAAAATCACGTTCGCTTTGTGAAAATGTTATAACTTTATTAAAAATTAAAAAATATATCTCTGAAAAGATAGTTTACATTTTTTAGGGTAGATTGAAAAAAAAATTACAAAATTCATTCGTTTTTCTCCTTGTTACGATTTATCAAATTTCTGAAATCATCCGTTAACTTCTAGTCTCCCTAACTGTTAATTTTAATAGCACAAAAAAAGTCAATAAACTATTTTTATGTAGAAATTTATGCTCTACAACTTTTATAAGAAAATTTCAAATTTCAAAAGGGGTAAGAGCTAGAATCTAGAATCCTACAGTCCAAATTCAAAAACCAGTGGTGAAGAAACAAGGATGTCGTTTCCTTATTTAAAGTAAAACTTCTACGCCACTGAATTAATTGGTAATATGAATACATTTTACAACAGTTTGGAACATTCCGGATGAAAAAACATTCTTTTATTTTTCGAAAAGTGAATGGAGTTATGAGACATATTATGATGCGGTTTTCCAGATATTTAAAAAAATTGTTTTATTTTTGTTAATTTCAACGCCCTGTATCTCATAAACGGTGGCCTTCTGCACCTATGTTCATAGAGCAAAATGATGTTAATTTTTGTTGTTTAGTACTTTCCCTAAGTTTGTCTATTAAAATCTGTACCATTCTGTATATCTCAAACTAACTTATATAAAAATTCAGGCAAGTTGACCAAAATTACGATTTAAAGGCCCATTTAGTTGGACTAAATATCTCCATTAGAGCGTTATTCAAAACGTTTGGTTATTCTAAAAATTTTGGTAGCAAATTACTGGACTTAAAGTAGGTAGTACATTGACCCGAGTCTATCTGATTGTGAGAGTTATTTTTTTATACTGCTATCATTGACAACAATTTTATTTCTAAAGTATTGGAGTTCTATTTGAGAAGCACTTTGTGTAAAACGTACACTTGATCGATGACTGTGAGGAAAGTAACGACCTTCCTTGCGTTATTTCAGGTAAACGGGCTATGCCAGCTTTGCGAGAAGATGAATATTCAGTCAGCCTGCACAGACTCCCCCAAGCCGAAGGAATGGAGGAAAAGAGAAACTTGCAGTCTATCAAAGCTCAGTACAAACCGAAGTTCAAGAGATCTGCCGACGAGACGGAAAAGAGGAACAAGCGAGAGGCCGACTATTTTGACGTGGAAAACGGTGAATATCCCTCTCCTGTGTATCAGAGCCCCAATATTTACGACTATGAAGACTGGTTGCAGGATCTGACGGGCGCTTATCCCAACGCTGAGAAAAGGTTCTTAGGTGAGTCAGTTTATTACATTTTTATAAAATGTGAGGGCTAACTTGTACAAGAAATGTTTTTTTTTTTTAATTTAAAATACACATCCAACAGGCGATGCCCAATAACAGGATATGTAATAAAATATAAAAAGAGTTAAAAGAGAGAAAAATTAACTAAGAAAAAATACAGAAAAAAATGGTACAAACTTACAAACTAAACTTCTAAACTTCAAGTTCAACAAAATCTCTCTTTGTAGATTTGTGTTAAATTTTAAACAACAATCGACTACGTGTCTCTTCTTGGAAGCGGTGAATGATATCAAGTTGAAACAAAACGAATTTTTTAACATATATTAAACTGCCTAATTTTTTGAAAACTGGCAAATAAAAGAAATTTTAATGACTTCTTTCTGTCACAGATGCAATTTGTTATCAATAATGGTAATGTAATGTAATGGTAATGTTTAGTGTAGCGGAAAACGTTATTTTCGAGTTTGTTGAACACGAATCTGAAGTTATTTTTGTGTGGTCTAATACAGTTTTCTTATTAAATTTGTAACTCTACACTTCACACAATTCTCCCATTATTAATATTTGCAGCAGCATTATGCAGTCATATATCATTTAAAATATAGAGGGTGTAATTTTCAATCTTTATGATATTTATAGGGAAGCTACCTTTGACCTTTAGAAACACTTACAAGCGTTTCTACACTGAATTTACTTTTTTAATTTTTCTTCGAGGTTTTTCATACCCCGCCACTGGACAGGCTGGCTGCGAACGCATTGTTGTCGAATCTCATCTTCCTTGATTGTGGATATGTTTTTTTACAATACAGGGTGTAGTAAATTAAAAGACGAATCCGAAAATATCATTGTTGTTACCGTAAAGCAGTGGCGTACTATTTTATTTAGAAAAATATGCCACCAATACCCTCTGTATCTCCAGCATGTAAATTTTAGCAAAAGCCCTCAGATTTTAGACAATGCTTATATAAATAGATGTGCCCAAATTATTCCATTAACTAAATTATTTAAAAAAATTTAAAATATTTTTTGAAGTTTAACACCCTGTATATTTTCAAAGAAGCGTCTTAGATAAAAACTGTATAGGAAAGACCCTTTAAAATCCGCCAAAGAATACGAGGTTTCGGTCACCATTTGTGAATCACCCTGTATAACAATAAAGACACACAAATACATCCTACCGTCACTAAATACTAATAAAGAATTAAGATAATAAGATTAGACACTGGCACTATAAGAGGTACTTTACTAATTCCACTTTAAACTTTACTTAAAGATTAAATTTAATGAAATACAATACTGAACCATACAAATTATATAACCAAATTAACGTTGGCCCGTCTATTACCCTATTGTCATATCCTATCAGGCGTAATTAACCTAAACTAGATCAATGCCACTGAGATTAACAAACTAAACACAGTGCTTTAAAAAATAGCAACAAATACTTTTTATTAAAAATTAGAAATAATTTAAAAAATTATTTCAAAATCATTAGATTATTATTTATAAGTAGTTCTAATTTATTATATATTATATCATTTTGTTAGTTTTATATAGTTAGTTTAAAAAGGTAGCAACAGCCAATCCTGATAATTAAAATTTAAAATACCAATTGTTTCGATTATTTAGGTATTTGATAAAAAAAATTAGATTAGTATTCTGTGGAACACATACTGCTAGTCAAAACAAAACACAGACGCAAATTTTTTTGTAGAGGCAGCAAGTAAATTAAAGTCAATATTTATTTTAATTTGATTTCTATGTTCATCTGGTCAGTAACCTACTCTACTTGCTGGAACATTTCAACACAAAATAACAACTTTAGTTAGGTTATGTCAAGTAGGTTTTTTATATATTAGATCAGAAAAAAATTAAAGTAACCTAATCTTACTTAACTTTATGTAGAAATTATTAGAAAATTTGAATTCTTATTAGATTATTAGAATTAGAAATTAGATTGTTTACGTAGATATATAAATTTCTGCATAGTGTTAGGTTAGGTCAGCATAAGTTTCTTAAATTTCTGATTCTAATAATTCTAATATAAAATTAATTCTGGTTTTCTAATAATCAAATATAAAAAATTGTTTTTGATCTAAGCTAACTAACTTTTAATATAGTAATATCATTGAGTATACTATTTACAAAAATTATATCTCAGCTATATTAAATTAGTAGGAGTTTTTAAATGAATTAAAATATTTATATTTATTTTCACTCATCAATATGCTGCCCCTAGAAATAAATTTAGGATATTTAGTAACCTTATTTCAGAGAATTAATGAACTATATTATTAAATATTTTAATTTTTTTCTGAAAAAACTAGATGCGACTCTACAAATCTAACTTCAAATTCGTGTTCGTTCATCTAATACTCTGTAGTACTTGCGCATCCACCATAATCTAGAATTTTATAACATTTTAAGTTAGGTTAAATTTTTTTCAACTAGGTATCTCAATATCCATGAAACTTTATAAACTTTATATTTCTTACTTTTTCTACCGCCGAAAAATAAAGTCATAAGTACACTTTGTTTTTACATAAAACATTTTTTATTATTTACCTAAACTCTTTATACACGTAGACTATTTACTATTTGGCTGTAACAATTTATTCTCGGATCACTTTTCTGCTATATGGACATTCTCTTCAGTTTTATCTTGACATGTTGGTAAATATCAGTCTGGAACTAACTTACATTAACTGTACGATATGGTGGACTGTAACACCCTACGAAAAAAATGTGCACAGTTTGTAAACTTACCTCAAACGTCAAATATGTTTCTGCTATATCATCTTTTAAGAATCTTAGATTTTAGCTACAAAAGAGCATTGTTTGACTTCATTTGATATGATTTTGGCAACCCTTTCTGAACTTATTTGAGTGAGCGTAATACTTTTTGAACAAAATAAACGAAGTTCTGTTTCTGGGTTTTAGTTTACATCTGATTTTATAACCTTGAAGTAATTGATGGTTAAATATCCACAACACGTTTTGGCAACATGCGTAAAATGCGTATACTGCCTCCTGACTACCAATATTTTACTTTTAAGGAAGTTAAGAGATATCTTGATCTTGATATCTCTCCAGAAATAAACTTTTTCCATTCCGATTTATGTACGTTCTCACCCCTCTGACATTTTAAATAAATAAATCCACTTGTCGTTTTCATCCGTTCCCCAAACATAGCGCATCAAACTTTTATATATTCCGTCACCGTAAACAGTTTTTTCAATCTTACATCGGTGTTTATCTACCCTTATTCATTTTCGTCTCCCACAGCTCGAAGCCTCATTCCAGACGTCGCGATTCGTTCTTCAAAGCGTCGCTTTTCGCCGCAACAACTTTGAATAAGTTGCCAGATGGGGCTGGAATTAAGATATAGGGTTTACCATCCAATTTCGGTTAGTAAAGATACTCTATCTTGATGAAAGGAAAATAAATAGAAATGTCGATAAACCCGCACTGTTTTTATATCAAAAGTACTTCTACTGCGAGCGTTAAAATTCGTTGTTTCTTAACTGTCATCCTCGCACATCTAAAAGCTTCTTGTGTTCAGGTATAAATCTACTGTGGGTATAATTATAATATTCAAGTGTTATTGTTATTTGCGTACATTGAGAGAAAAATAGTTCTATCGGTTTAAAATATGAGAAGTCCTTTAATAGTATCGAATTATTTTTGTTATCCTCTAAACTAACGAGCCCCCACTGGTGGATTTTACAGAAACCCATTCAAATATGTATTTCACTTCTGATTTTACGGTATTGTTCGCTTTGTACTATAAGTTAAAAAGCATGTCATTCTTATCATGTCACGAAATCTACACCTTCATGAATTCATTTAAAAGGTGGTAGGGTAGAACAAAGCTGTTAAAACAAAGTTTGTTTAAAATTATCTGGTTTGGAAGTCGATCTGAACAACCTTTTAGTAAAACCGCTGATAATCGATAACGTTCTCAACTTGGGAATACCGTATGTACAGAGTGTTTGTTATACAGGGTGTATCTAAATAACACCGAAAACATTCAAGGGGCAATTCTCCGATGAAAATTAATAGGGGTCTTTGGTATAAAATTTTTTGAAAAAACCCTTCCCTGAAAAGTTACGCCCCTCCTAAAATTACAAAAAAAAAAATTGTTTTTCTTTTTTATCTTCCACGTACATCAAGCTAAAGAAACCAAACTTGGTGAACATTATCTGTCAATAAAACTACACTTTTTGAATTTTTTTCAACCCTGAACTATTTTTGTAAGGGGTTGAAATAATCAACCCCTATGACATTTTTTCTTATAATTTTTTTTTCGATAAAATTTTTTCCTTTTAAAAAATATGTCTAAAAAACCCCATTCATTTACTAACTTTTTGATCTCTTCAAGTTTCTTCGAAAAGTTAAGGATTTATGACAAAAAAAAAAAAATGTATTGTAATGTATTTTTAAAAAGATGAGCTGTTTAACGCGAGTGTATTTTGCCGAAAGATCTAGTGGCCTGTTCTTTACAATGGAATCCGTAGAAACAAATGTCAATGTCATTTATTGTTACTGTTTCTTACTATTTCACAAGTTTCATGATTTTGTGTAGAAAATATTAGTTAATAAACCGAAAATATGGTTAACTATTCGAATTTAGAAATGGCAGATATGCATTTTACATATGGGTATGCTAACGGTAATGCATTGGAAGCGCAAAGACTTTATGCTGAACAGTACCCAGAGCGTAGATTACCCCACCATACTACGTTCACAAATATTCACCAACGCTTGCGGGAACTTGGAAAATTTGAAAAGAGAAGTCATGACTGTGGCCGTAGCCGAGAAGTTAGAACTGAAGCTGTCGATGAAGCCGTACTTAATTTAATTGAGGAATCCCCAGAAACTAGTACCAGGAAAATAGCTCGTGTCCTAAATGTAAGCCATTCGGTAGTTTTTAGAATTTTAAAAGAACAACAGTTATATCCCTATCATCTCCAACGGGTGCAGTCGTTACT